GTGGCTCAGTCGTTAAGCGTCTGCCTTCGGCTCAGGTCACGATCCCAGGGTCCTGGGATCGAGCCCCGCATCGGGCTCCCTGCTCGGCAGGAAGCCTGCTTCTCCCTCTTCCACTCCCCCTGCTTGTGTTCCCTCTCTCGCTGTGTCTCTATCAAATAAATAAAATCTTTAAAAAAAAAAAAATCCTTGACTCCCATTTTATTTCCTTGAGTAACTTAAATACATTATTTTATTTTCTTCTGGCATAAAGCATTGTGGTTGAATAGTTTTAAGATGATCTAATTTTATTTCTCTTAAAAGTCATGTACTCTTTTGTGCCTAGATGCCCAAAAGAGTTTTTCCTTTTCTTTAAAGTCCAGCAATTTTACTAGTACATGTCTTGGTAGTGATCATTTTTGAGTCTGTATTAGATACACAATGTACCAATTAAGATCATCCTGTCCATTTTCCTTACGGAAAATTTTACAGGTAAGAAAGCTAAATGTCAGAGGGGGGAGTGAGGTCAAAGAATCTTAAGTCTAGAGATGGTATTAAGATTCTTAAGCAAGGATGTATCTCAGAATTAAAACACAGATCCTAGAAGAATCCAGTTGCACCTGAAGCAAATGTATTCCTGAATTGTTAGATGATGGGGGGAGCTCTTATTTTTTTATTATTATTATTTTGTTTAGGCCACTTTGGGTTAGTTGTTCTATCTCTGGCAATCTGAAGAACTGTAAAAAAAACACAACAGGTGAATCCATCACCACCCCTGCTTGAGAACCTCTGATCTAGCCTCCCTCCTGGTACACATGCTGGCCACACTGAACTCTCCTTTTCATATGGAGAGTTCCTCCAGGGAACTCTGTTCCTCCAGGGCCTAGCCAAAGACTCTCACATTCTCTTTTCATCTTCAAGTCCATTTCACACAATTTCCAATATGAAGTCTTCAAATTCCACTCCCTGGAGCTAGCCCAAACCCTTCCAGCTATAGCCTAAATATACTTTTCTCCACCTTTCATCAGGACAGAGTGCCCTGTACCAACCCTCCATCCATGAAGGTGGTCTGGCTCTGCTGGACGATGAAGAGGAATGAACTTTCTCTTTCACGTACCAGTAATGTCATTCCTTCCTCCCCCGGGGGGCCCCATAGCTGTCACAAGCAGCACATCCACGATGTCCAGCCTGTTTGTGTCCTTCTTGTCAAACCAGTAACCATGGTCAATCCACTGCCTCAAGAGCTCAATGGGGGGCTGGGCCCCATACACCTCTTTGGCTGGCATGTTGAGGTCATCTGGGGAAAGAAGGCATAGCCACATACTGTAAGTCTCTGGGCTATTTAAACCTAATTAATATTCCTTTTATGGGACAGTCTGTGCCTACTTGTCCTATTCCCACTCTAGGCAGGGCTCAGCCAGTGGATATTCTGACCATATGGGAAGAGGATTTCCTGGGTTCTGGGTTCTCCTGCCTCACTGAGATCTCTGCCCATTGTGACTTTAAGGATGCATGGATTAGCATCAACAAACAGGCATTTAATTTTTTTCCCATTCCATCAACCACAATATATTGATTCTCTACTATGTGCTAGACATTTTATTAATTTCTGAGGATATGATGGTGAGGAAGACAGTCATACTCCCAGCCAATGGGGTATATAATTCGATCAATCACCAGGTAACAACTGAACCCAATGGGAGAAAAGTTTTGAGCTAGGGTTTTTGTGGAGCAAAATCAAAATGGCAAGGATAGTGACTTTCTCAAGGGCAAGGATTGATTTCCACCACTAGCATGTTGTGATCCAGTCACTGCACATAGAAGACACTCAATAAAATGGAAGCTCTCTTAATTTTTCTCTAATGAACACTGATTGAATGCCCAGTTTGTGTCAGATAACATTTCAGGGGTTTTATACATATTATCTCATCTAATCCAAATAATGGCTTTATAAGGAAGGTAGTATTACCTTTATGTTAGAGGTGAGGAACTTAGGGTCATGCAAGTTAAATCACAATATGCCTATGGTTAGAAAGTTAGATTGAACCTAGATCTGTTTGGCTACAAAGCTTAAATTGTTTCTGAATATGCCATAAGAAATAGGAAGGGAGAATAGTTTGGAGGAAAGGGAAAAGGGAAGAAAAGAAAGGGAAAACAAAATAAAATTGGATCTCTGCCTTTAAGAAGCTAATGTTAGTGGGCAAGGATATAAATATAGATAATATTCACTATCAATACATGAATTTTAAAGAAAGGACATGAGATAACCAAGAACAGTAGGGCATTACTTTTACTAAATGACAACCCCATGAGGTAGCAGTAAGATAGTGGAAAATGTAATGTATTTGTCATAAAAAAAACCTAGGTTTGGGTCATGGCTCCAGAATTTTCTTGATGTTTGACAGAGAATTTAACCTTCTGGAGCCTCAATTATCTGACTAGTAAAATGATAATGATGGTTAATAACCTCACAGGGATGTTAGGCTCAAATGAAATAAATGAGGAATGCTTTGTAAAGAGCTAAAATCCTGGGGAAACTCAATGTGCTTATTTCACAAATACTTATTTAGCAATATTTAGATTTCTTCATTTACTGATAACCTTTATCTGACAAAAAATGGAATACGGGGTTTATCACAAAGTGAGTGTTGTTTTTGGAGATGCAAGAGGGTAGACACTCTTCTGGAACTAATTCTCACTACAAGGTAACCTTCCCTGATCCAAAGGCTCATCTTCATCTCAGGGGAAACTGGAAGCCTAATTGAGGCAAAAAGACCCTGGACTACATCTTACTGAAAAATCTGACATACAGTACTTAATCAATAAATACAAGGTAATGAAAGGAGGAAAGGAATGGAAAAACAAAATTAAAGATGAGAGAAAGGGAGGGAAGGGGGGGAGGGAAAAAAGGTAAGAGGAAGAAAGGAAGGGAAGCAGGTTGGAGAAGAAAAGGGGAGGGAAGTAATACTAAATTACATTAACCAGAAATACATTATCTCTTAGAGAGAGTAAAAGAACTGTACAGTGGGGGATTCTGGTTTGCTGCAGCATAGAAGAATCTGGTTGTGTTCAGATTCAGGCTAGTGCCTTACCCACAAATACCACTGCTTTCTTCCCTATGGGAGGCCCAAACAGGCCCTTCCGCCGTCGATCCAGCTTGGACATGATGATATCCTGAGTCTGATTGGCTGAGGTTCGGGCAGAGAAATTGATGAAATTTGGCAGGTAGGTGTTTTTGGGAAGGTGGAGAAGGAAATTGTTGGTAATGACTGATTTGCCAGTGCCTGTGGGCCCCACGAACAGCACTGGAATTTCATGGTCCACGTAGGTTTTCAAGAAGAAGGACTGCCTGGCTGTCTCCACCGTGGAGATGATGAGTTCTGAGACCTGTACCACAAAGACATGGGACAGTCTTGTTACTGGGCCAGGGAGGCTGGGTCTTGGCATTCAGACTTACTATCCATTCAGCTCCATCCCTTACTATCTTTATGACTTTGAGTGAGTATTTAACCTCCACAGGGGCCTCAGTTTCTTCACCTGTGAGACAGGATAATAATGGCACCCATGTCACTAAGCTGTTTTGAGGGTTAAATGAGATCATACATGTCAAGATGGGCATTATTGGCTCTGTTTTATAGATGAGGAAACTGAGGTCCATAGCTCTTCTGCAATTTGTCCAAGTAATGCAGCAAGTAAGTGGAAATGCAGGAACTTGAATTCCAGCTTGTCTGATTCCAAAGTCTATATTCTTTTTTTTTTTTTTTAA